GGTCAAATATGGCTATTGATGCCCATTTCCTTATAAAGGAAACAGAGATGGGCAGGTCTGGGTACAGTGGTGTGTGAGACGTGGTCGGGCTGAATAAAACTGAGTTTTGCATCTTATCTAAAATCAGATTTTGACCATCCCACTCACTGTATAAACCACTCCACATTATCTTTTGCTTTTATCTCATTACTCTTTTATTTAACCAAAAAAAAAAATGAGACGTGATTGGATTGGACTCCATACAAATCCTAATAATTTTGTTTTGTCGAATTTAATTTATATGTATCTGTGTGTGGTTGTTACGAATATGTGTCAACGTTAGTGAGGTCTGATGAGTTATACTTGTTTGGATAAGCTAATTTTATATTCAATGCAATGCGCGTCCAACAAAATTTCAATGCAAGTGTGTATTCGTGATTAGGAATGAGCAGTATACATTTTATATGGCATATATACAAATCAATCACCTTACAATCTATTCACATTTAGTGGTCGTAGATGAGTCCTAGCTATATTCAAAGCTTACATTGTGTTTTAGTGTAAAAACATAATTCGGGGATACATTCTTATTGTTAACAAAAGATATTCAAACCAACGTTCGATTTATAATTGTTTGAGTGATAAATGTAATCGTCGAATAGTTTGCTCACTAACTGACTAACTAGACATAAATTATAGGTTTTTATACTAAAACTATGTGTCTTATTAATATTTAAAATAAACATTATAATATGATATCCAAACAAACATTTAATTTTAATAATTAAAATAAAGGCAGGCTACGTTGTAAAAGACGTTTTTCTTTAAAATTGTTGGGTCATTGTTTTCGAATGCAAATTTATATATGGAGAACACTCGGAACATGCTACAAACATGTTGCGTTTCCATGATCATAAATATTACTCGTTTGAAATCTTATACATTCTTGTTTGGCAAAAAAAAATTTTAAAGCCAAATCGTCTAACAGTTTGCGTATGTATTTATCTTTAACGTATTACAATCATCATTTAAAGAAAAATAGATAGATGCCGAGACAAAAACGTTAATAAATTATAATACAACCTTAATTACCTGCAAATGAAAATGTTTTAAAGCAAAAAAAAAACCTGCAAATAAGCGTGAATATTTTCCAAACTAATTACAAGTTGAT